ACCTTTATCCTTCTCAATATTGTCCTCCTTTGGTCTCCTCATGGCCCCTCTCCAATGCCCCATCACGATGTACGCGTCAAACTGTACAGCCGTATTTCCTGAGCGTCTACATCAAAGTGAATGTGAATGCGACCGAGACTGTGTACGAGTGGCTGTGTGTGAGCGAGTCTGCGCATGCGCGATTGGATGTGATGGGTATTTCGTGTTTGTGAGCCGGAAGGCGCGGGCAAATGCAAACGATTCTGAGTATGAGTGCTTGAGTGCGCTTGGGCCAGAGACTGACAGGCGTGGCCAATCATGAAGGGATCTGGAAAGATACTGCAATTCTGTCTCTCCCCAACCATCCTGCCCAAACCTCCTGCGTTTGCATGATAGCCATTACAATACCTGATACCAACCAAACAGCACCGACCCATACCGTACCGCGCCAACCAGCCGCGGCAACCAGACTGGACGATACCGTACCGGGCGCGGCGCCATACCGCACGATACTGCACCGACCGTGTCTACCGGACGATACCGTACCTGAAGGGCCCTGGGGGCGTCCTGGGGGGTACTAGGGGGTACTGGGGGGTACTGGGGTGTGCTGGGGAGTACTGGGGTGTACTGGGGGGTAATGTGGGGTATACTAGGGTTTTTTGGGGGTAAATGGGAAAAACCACTAAGGACCCCCCAGTGTTTTCGTTCGTTGGCACCGCAACGAAATAAATCCACGGGGGCGGATTCAGCGGAGCGGTATCTTTAGCCCCGCGCCAAGGCGCAACACATAAATCATACTTGCCCCTCCTTCGACCGCAAACGCGCCTCCTTTTCCGCCCTTTGAGCGTAATTCTCGCCTCCCCCCTCGACCGCAATTTATGGGGTCCTCTCTCTTTCCTCCACCTCCTCCTCCTCTTCTCCTTCCTCCTCCCCGCACCTCCTCCCTCATAAACTAATTTTCGTCGGTCGTCAACTGGGGTGTACACACCATGCACGGAGCGTTTTCTTAGCTTGGGGCCGCCGAGAGTAATTCCCCACATGCTTAGTGGGGTTACGGTTTTCTTCCCTCCCGCGACGCACCCGCGACGCTCACATCTCACCTCCCTCCTCCCCTGCTCCTCTTCCTCTCCTCCCCTCCTCCTCTTCCCCTCCTCCACTTCCTCGACACCAGAGGAGGTGCGCTGGGGTCGTCTTCCTGTCCGCTTCGGGCTCGCAAAGCGTGGCAGGCGTGGCACTTCCTCGACACCACACGGGGAGCGCTGGGGGTGGATTCCTATCCGCTTCGGGATCGCAAAGCGTGGCAAGCGTGGCGACCCCACAGGGGGTGCGCTGGGGGTGGTTACCCCATCCGTTCCGGGCTCGCAAAGCGTGGCAGGCGTGGCACTTCCTCGAAACCACAAAGGGTGCGCTGGGTGTGGTCTCCCTATCCGTTTCGGCCTCGCAAAGCGTGGCAGGCGTGGCACTTCCTCGACACCACAGGGGGTGCGCAGGGGGTGGTCTCCCTATCCGCTTCGGACTCGCAAAGCGTGTCAGGAGTGGCTTCTCCTCGACACCACAGGGGGTGCGTTGGGGGTGGTCAGCCTATCCGTTTTGGCCTCGCAAAACATGTCAGGCGTGGCTTTTCCTCGACACAACAGAAGGTGCGCTGGAGGTGGTCTCCCTATCCGTTTCGGCCTCGCAATGCGTGGTAGGCGCGGCACTTCCTCGCCACCACACGTGGAGCGCTGGGTGTGGTTTCCCTATCCGCTTCGGGCTCGCAAAGCGTGGCAGACGTGGCACTTCCTCGACACCACAGGGGGTGCGCTGGGGGTGGTCTCCCTATCCGTTTCGGCCTCGCAAAGCGTGGCAAGCGTGGCAGTTCCTCGACACCACAGAAGGTGCGCTGAGGGTGGTCTCCATATCCGCTTTCGGCCGTCGCAAAGCGTGGTAGGCGTGGCACTTCCTCGACACCAGAGGGGGTGCGTTGGGGGTGGTCTCCCCATCCGCCCCGGGCTTGCAAAGCGTGGCAGGCGTGGCACTTCCTCGACACCACACGGGGTGCGTTCATCCACTCATCCATCCTCGACGCCACCGTGGAGGAGGAGCCTGAAGAACATTCGCACTGAAGTTTCGGAAAGGGCAGGATGTGGTATGGGGCATGGTGTATGAACACACGCGACATAAAATCAGTATGTGGGGTTCTTCGGTAGCGTCATGTATTTCCGTCCGCGACTTCGCGGTGGAAGCACTAAGTAGTAGTAGTAGTAGTAGTAGTAGCAGTAGTAGTAGTAGTAGTAGTCGTAGTAGTAGTAGTAGTAGTCGTAGTAGTAGTAGTAGTAGTAGTAGTAGTAGTAGTAGTAGTAGTAGTAGTAGTGGTACTGGTTCTGGTAGTAGTAATAGTAGTAGTAGTAGTAGTAGTAGTAGTAGTAGTCGTAGTAGTGTAGTAGTAGTAGTGTAGTAGTAGTAGTAAGTAGTAGTAGTAGTAGTAGTAGTAGTAGTAGTAGTAGTAGTAGTAGTAGTAGTAGTAGTAGTAGTAGTAGTAGTAGTAGTAGTAGTAGTAGTAGTAGTAGTAGTAGTAGTAGTAGTAGTAGTAGTAGTAGTAGTAGTAGTACTAGTAGTAGTAGTAGTAGTAGTAGTAGTAGTAGTAGTAGTAGTAGTAGTAGTAGTAGTAGTAGTAGTAGAAGTAGTAGTCGTAGTAGTGTAGTAGTAGTAGTAGTAGTAGTAGTAGTAGTAGTAGTAGTAGTAGTAGTAGTAGTAGTAGTAGTAGTAGTAGTAGTAGTAGTAGTAGTAGTAGTAGTAGTAGTAGTAGTAGTAGTAGTAGTAGTAGTAGTAGTAGTAGTAGTAGTAGTAGTAGTAGTGGTAGTAGTAGTAGTAGTAGTAGTAGTAGTAGTAGTAGTAGTAGTGGAACCTGAAGAACATTCGCACTGAAGTTTCGGAAAGGGCAGGATGTGGTATGGGGCATGGTGTATGAACACACGCGACATAACATCAGTATGTGGGGTTCTTCGACAGCGTGGAAGCACTAAGTAGTA